AGTCATACCGTATCTGTCCTCCTCTGCTTTATTTCACTCAGCATAATGAAACAAGCCTGTATCGTCCTAAAGCAGTGGTTCTCAAATGCCAGCGTGCATCGGAATCACCAGGAGGGCTTCCCACCACAGGCTTCCAGGCCTCAGCCCGAAATTTCTGCTTCCCTAGGTCTAGAGAGGGGCCTGAGAATTTGCATTTCTGACAAATGCCCAGCAGATGCTGCTGAGGCTGCTCCAGGGACTGCGCTTTGAGGACCACGGAATTAAAGGCAACCCTTGTTTGTTTTTAACAGAATTATTTCACTTACTTTGCCGCTTTAATTTTATTCTTCATCGAGTTGCTCAGCTACCTAGGCCTTGGCATCTTACATAGCGCATCAGAAGCAGTGGTGTAATTGTTTAACACTGGCTGCAAGTTTGGGGAGGAGTCCTAATTTGTAGTATTTCTAGTTTCTGTGGGGGTAAATACTGCCATCATGGCCAATTGAAAGCTACCAATATCTCATCAACCAGCTAGTCATCTTTAGGGCACCACTGAACCATAAGGAAATGTCAGGGGTCATGCTGAAGTTAACCTTAAGAAAAGGGAACCCTTTGTGCACTCTGGATGGGCATGTAAATTGTTGCAGCCATTATGGAAAACAGTAGGGAGATTCCTCAAAAAATTTAAAAATAGAGCTACCACATGATTCGGCAGTTCCACTTCTGGGTATGTATCCAAAGGAAATGAAATCAGCTTCTCAAAGACATATCGGCACTCCCATGTTCAGTGCAGCTTTATTCACAAAAGGGTCTGTGCTAATGTTCGTGACTCTCTAAATAACCCGGTATCTTTAAAATCCCCTCAGAGTTACATAGAGTCTTTCACCAAGAGAGTGAATTTCACTTTTAAACTAAATTCAAATGTTATTCCAAGGTACATCATTTAATTAATAACCAGGCTTCGGGTGTGAAATTTGCTCTCAAGAAGAAATTCTGTGTATGCTTCTTCCCACTTCAACCTCTTTAAATTATGAAATATATCACTTAGAAAAATACAGCACAATTTTGGTTTAGAGCTTCTAACGAGAAAGTCCAAGGCAGGAGTTGCTACCCCTCTGGCTGTCAAGAGTCCTTAGGAGGTTAAGTAATTCCAGGTATTTGTACCCACTCCCTGTTCTCCAGACCAGACTAATATTTGAAGCCTGTCCAGTTGGAGGTGGAGACCCTTGCATTCGGGACTGTCTTAATCCATTTGAAGTTTGGGAATTCACCACTTCTTTGCTAGTGTTCAGGGCTCAGAATTCACTGGTACCATAGAGAAATGTAAATATGGTGTTTTGGTAGCAATACTACACGATCTGTGCCAACACTCAGGTCTTTATGTGTCAAGAACATTACCTATGCAGCTGTAAAAAGAGGGATCTCTTACCCTTTGGGATAGCATGGATGGACCTGGAAAATATTATGCTAAGTGAAATAAGCCAATGTGAGAAAGACAAATATCGCATGATCTGAACAAAATGAATTGACCAACAAAATAAGACCCGAAGCATGGAGGCATGGAACAGACTGACATACCTCGATGTGGGTTTGGAGAGGCGAGAAGAGCTAAACCAAAGAACTTGCATGCTTATATGCATAGCTAATGGACATAGGCAATAGGTAGTGAAGACCTGGGAGAGTTGGGGGGGGGGTCTTGAAGGAGGGAGGCAAAGAGGGGAAATGGGAGATATCTGTAACACTATCAACAATAAAAATATATTTAAAAAGAAAGAAAAAAGAACATTACCAAAATGTGTGTATTCTGACTCAGGGCATGGCTCCTGCCTCCAAGGATCGCTTCCTAAAATTCATTTCCCATTTATTGAAAGACAAGTTTGTACATGATTATGTTCTAAATCAACTGCAGTTCCTATGGTTCCACATGAGGTGCATGCATTAGCAAAACCAACGTGCAAGCTGGGTAGCTGTTGAGTTGAACCATCACTATATAATTTTAATCACTGACTGTTCTAAAAGAGATGGAGAGAAGCTAAAGATTAACTGGGAATTGGAGGCAAACTAAAAATGATAACAATAATACAACTAATAAGGTAAGAGCAGAGGAAAGCTTACTCCAGTTAAGATTTATTCAACACCCACTATAGTGGACGTAAGATTCCAATTATGCAGATGGTAGACTTACATCCCCTACTCTATGTATTGGGTTGCCCTTCTAAACAGCGTATTTTTTTAAGAGGTGCTTCTGCGTGTGTTCTGCTTACGTTTGATACATTTCTGGAAGTGACCCAGTTTAATTTCAAACCCCTTTGCCATCTTGCGGTGGGTAATTCTGAAACAATCCTAAAAAGGTACTACCATTTTTTTCTTAAAAGGAAGCTTTGAATCAGGGACACGTTTCCTTGGTTACCGGAATCACAAGCACATGTGCCATTTCAAACACTCCCTCCCGGCTAGCTTAGGGCAAGATTTCGGGAACCCCTAAGTCTCCGGGAGACAAGTGATAATGGCCAGTAACATCTCGGAGAGTCCTGGACTGTAGGCTATTTATTTGAGGCAACGTTTTTAGGCACAGAAATAGCAGCCACCCTGAGGATGACAGAAAAGCAAATGGCACGCAGATCACACAGACACTAATGCGACAGTGCCTTGGCCTCATGCGCGCATCTGAAGTCACCGTGCTCCTGATGACCTGCGGCGTCGCAGAAGGAAGTAGCACTAGGCAGAATCCTCGCTTTGTCCTTTCCTGATGAGGTCTCCGCTTCCAGCCTCTGACACTCAGGATGAGTATAAGCCAAACAGGGACCAGTGGCCTCTCTGACTCCACCCTTGCCACAGGCTGCAGAGACCGGAGAAATAATTCGGCCAATGGCCAGAGCATGGCAGTCATCGTGTTGTTTGGACGCACGGGCTCCATTTGTCACTGGGAGAGCAGGGATTCAGTTGTCACCAGAAAAGCAGAAACAGAAACCATCCCCCACAGGTGTGAGCAGCAAAAGGTGCTTATAAAGGCTTTAAAGTTTTAAATAAAAAACTAAATTATAAATGGCATCATATGCATTGGAAAACACAGTGTCTGATAACATACTAAGAATCCTATTAAAGTAGTGTTATAAAGAGGGTCTTAACAGGATCAGAGCATGAATTTGTTTGGCAAAGAGAGAATGAAAAGGAAATGGACATTTTCTGAATACCAGCCGTGGGCAGGTTAGAACTGTGCTTGGCTGTTCATGCAGAGTGGAACTTAATCCTCAGCCCGTCCTGTGCAAGGTGCGCTGCTGTCCTCTCAGCTGCAAGCAGGAGGGCTGGGGGCAGGGCAGACCCAGGTCTCAGGCCATCGGAAGTCAGTGCGCTTTCCAAAGGAACACTAGTAGGATCTGTCCTAAAGCCACCACACATTACCCAGGTACAACTGAAAAATTTAAAATAAATTTGCCCTTTTTTTGAAGTTCAAACTTTTTAAACAGGGATGCAATGCTTACCATTTCCTCCTAATCTACAATATTTAGAGGAATAAAGAAAAAAAATGTATAGCAGAAACAAAATTTCCCACAGAAGACAAATGAGTGACAACTTCAGATGCAACTTCTACAAATGCAGTTCGAATTCCCTCTCTCCCTCCCCGCATCTCTCTCTCAAAAATCTCAAACTCTTAACAGGCACAGTTTCTCAGTCCATTAAAAAAATGTATCCTCCTCAGAAATACGCTTTCCTTTACCACACTTGGAATCCATACTGAACATTTCTTTAAATTCATAAATATTCACATTTGGACTTCTTCCAAGTTAAAATTTTAAAAAGCTGACATAATGGCTCTGTTGGGATTTTTCTGCTTCTCCAGGATGAGAAGTTAAATAGGATGAATTCACGAGAACAGAGTCGGTAACCTCTTTAACCTGTGCAGAGAACGCCCTGTCTCTTGCACGCTACAAGCTGAGCGTGGGCCCTTATCTCAAACTAAACAAACACGAGCCACGCATTCATGACACATTTCACTCTGGTGTCTTTTGCTTCCTTTTCTCTGTAGCTCAGGTGCTGGGTGTTTTGCTGGTTTTGTTTGGTTTTTTTTTCCATGTTTCTGTGGCTTCCAAACTTACATTCCTAAATTCCAACTCACTCCTGAATTCCACTTTCATATTTCCCGCTGGCTAATGAACATGTTCGTACACACACTCCCTGGGAACTGCAACGCTGGCATGCTCAGAAACATATTCTCCCCCACCAGATTCTAAACCTGGTAATGACACCGCTCTCCAGCCAGTTATCCCAGCCGGACCTCTTTCCCCTGCACCTTTCTGGCTCCCCCACAACCTGCCTAGTCTGCCCTCTGATGTGTCTCAGCAGTCTCCCCTTTTCTGCCACCTGGCATGAGCCTCATTCATCTCCTGCCTAAGACACCGAAATGGCACGCTAACTTCTCTCCAAGTTTGAGCCTCTCCCCAGGTACTCCAGCTTACCCACCACCAGCGCTATCCAGCAGCACCCCCTTCTCCAGGGTTTCGCTTTCCGTATTTCAGTTACCCGTGGTCCAAAAATTTTAAGTAGAAAAGTACATCTGTGAATTGATTTCTTTAAAAAGAAAAAAGATGCATTCCTTCATTCTAGAAATAAAGGTTTCATAAGTTTTAAATGGGCATCATCTAATTCTGAACAGTGTAAGTATATACTTTTTAAAATGTATGTTGGGCTAGATGTGCCCAGATAATTTATTGGCTTTTTTTTTTTACTCCAAGGTTAAGCCTATCATCTATCTCAATTTTAAGAACCAGAAGTACAATGAAAAGACCGCCAACTGGTTATGTCAAGTCAAAATGCCAGAAAACTGAGACCTTTTTTTTTTTTTAAAGAAATGGCTGATGAATTATTTTCACTGAACACCCAAGCAGGCACCAAGAATTCACATGAATTATGAGTAAAGATGAAAAGGTCTAAAACTTCCTTTGGCTGGGCCGGTGAGATGGGATACTAACTGTGCAGGCTTGATGGTTTTTTCCAGAAATAAGTGAACACACAAACAAAACAAAACTACTAAAGCAGATAGGCAACTAATAGCACTTCCACTACGTCCATTTAGCATGCCCACTTCACACTCCCATTCTGAAGTGTACCTGGATTTCAAAAATTCTATGGCAGCACAGGATAGAGCCCTGCCACGCTGAAATTGCGATTTAATGAAGAAGCTCTCTAGCTCATAAAACTCTCAAATGAGAAGTAGGAAGACCCAATGTCTGACCTCTGAAACCTTCCTTCCCATTATGGCAAGTAACCAGATTTTGGTGTATTTTTTTAACATTATTTTTAACAAATTGCTCCATAGTTAAAAAAAAAAAAAAACACCCTGCTGATCTAATTACCAGACCTTAAAACTACAGACTCATGTCAACCCCTGCAGCAACTGTCTCTTCCTACAAGTGTCTTTGTTCCCCGGAGATGGGAATCCCAAGAGTAATTAAAGTGATGGGAGATTGCGGGAAACTGTTTTATGAAGCCATCTTTTGGTTATCTGGGGAGATAAGGGTGGGAGAAGATGCTAGGCGCATTTGTTGGGTTACTGATTATTTCACACATCTGTCCTTCATTACCATCTTCTCTTACTCTGTGTTTTCGCCTTGCTTCCATAGACTGGACTGCAAGTCTAAGGGGCCAGTTCCATGTTCAACATTATCAGTGGACATTTCCTTTTAGCATCCATCGAGAACACCCACGCTGCAGCTGGAATGAGGCAGAAAATAGTGGTGTTTGTCCAGATCTAAGGGCCACAGATAAATGTGTGAGGGGGGGCACCCAAAGCTAATCTCTTCTCTCCTCTAAGCTCCTGCAGCTTCTATGAAGGTGCTTCCCACGTTCTGCCCCATTCCCATGAGTTTGGTCTCCTCCAGCAGACTTCAAGCTCCCTGGGGCAAAGAACTTCCTTGTTTCTCACAGTATGGAGGACAAGGCCTTAGAAAATATGTGAATGGAAAGAACTGTCCTTGTTTAACAGGAAGCAGCAAACAGTTGTTCACAGGAGGTCTCTGAGCTGAGCCACTAAATTTCCAACCCTCAGGTCAGCCCAGGCCCAGGCCTCACCCAGACTCCCAGAGAGGAAGTTCATGTTCTAAGCCACAAGTTCCCCAATCTGCCAGAGGGGACCTGGCCAACTGCATGGATGAGGTCCCTCCTACCAACTCTTTCTTCACAGTTTGCCCTGATGAACATCAATAGAGCACCTGTGAAGAAATTTGGGGGATGTGTACCAATTACCCATCTCATGAGCCTTCCACTGTCATCACGGAGGCTTGTAAGTAGTCCCCAAATCCACCTTGTTCTTTAAGCCCACCAGGCTTTTGCTACTCCTCTTGCTGATCACGCCCTTCCCTGTCCTCCTTGCCCTGGTACACCTGATATAAGCCACCCATCCCTAAAGACGAAGCTCATGCAATGCCATCTCTGACGCCTTCTGGCTCTCTCACCTATGCCTACCTCAACACCTATCACAGCCCCCATTTATTAAATTATTCTCACTTCTTTTATGTCCATTTTGTCATTAGACTACTCTTCTTGTATGCCTAACACCAAATTCAGGGCAACAGGCATACCTCAAATATTTCTTTTGCCCATTTACTCAGAGAATATTTATTGAGCTCCAACTCTATGGCACACCAGTTTCAATACTCCAGATATATGGCAATGAGCCCAACAGCCCTACATCCCTGATCTGTGGAACCACCATCCTCCTGCGGGGACTGCTCCTTACCACCGTCTCCCCATCACTGTTCTCAACCAGATCACCCACAGCAAGAATTCCAGGCACAAGCAGCAGTTGAATGGGGCATGCTTTCATGAATAAATAAGTCAACCTCACTGTTGGGTTATTTGAAGTGTGAAGCAAAACCAAATGCCTAGAGCCATTACTGTCTTGTGGGTGGTTACCACAAAGTTTCACCCTTTACATCCCTGCCTTGGTGATTCGGTGCCCTGTTTTGAAAATGAGGAAACACTTTACCTGCCAAACTTGGAGCTCGATGCCCATGGGGAACTGGTAGAATTATTTCTGACCAACAAGATAAATTACACACGCAATTCCCCCATCCAGACTTTCCTTCATGAAGCTTCTACTGGCTAACACTATCTGATATGACGTTTTTTCTCACATTGAATCTCCTTAGCACCTTTACATGGCCCCCTTGTGCACCTGAGCACTCACTTATTTACATACTGTCTTAGCATTGAGCCTGGCAGGTTCACATAGATGTGTATTTCTCATCCAACTCCACTGCCAGCTCCATGATGTAAGACACATGGCTCTGATTCATCTTCATAGGAAAGAAATACCATGTGGCCAGGCAGTTACTGAATTTCCCCAGACCAAACGGGATGTGGGGAGCGGGAAGTGGGGCGTGGGGAGAGGGTATGAGAGCTGTGCATGTGGCTGATAACACATTTTCCAGGAAGATTCCCCTAAACAAAGCGAGGTGAAGATACCTAGAAAGGTCTTAGCCCAACATTTTAAATGGCCCAATGGAAGACAGCAAGACCTAGGCAACATATTAGGAAACAGGTGACCAAATAGTACTCAGCCAATGAAGAACCAGAAGAGGGACTAAATAAATAGGCTACGTTCCCTGACCCACACGTGTGCCTGTACAATGGATGCCTGCTCTTGAGAGTGTTATTAAAAGTCTCATTTTTGCCATGTTTCTGTTTCCCAGTCCGTCATTTGAAATTTGGACAGGTGAGCCATTCCTCACACATGATTAATGAGACTTCCTCTGCAGTAGTGACACATCACATAATGTGCACACAGCAGGCGCTCAATAAGTGCTTGTTACGTTTCATATCCAGAAAAAAACCTTTTACTCCTTACACTTCTGCTATTTGGGGGTGAAGGAGCTCCTATCTATGGCAAAAAATAGGTTGAAGTCTAACTCACTTCCAGAAAGGGAATGACATAATTTCTGAGAAGAAAAACTGTCTGGTGAATAAACACTATTGGCTACGTGGAGCTTCCCACGATCTCATCAACTTTTTCTAGCCTGTTAAAAACCAGGTAACTAGTTTACATATGTTCACTGTACTCATTCTGATCCTATGAGGTCTTTCAAAAATTTGGCCTCACTAATCTCTCCTTACCTTAAAATGACTGCAATCAAATATCAGGATTATTAAATGATGCAGAACAAAGAGGAACGTTGTCGTTTTTTGCCTTTACCTAATGTTTTCTGTGCCCTTCCTATGTGCTGGTCATTATGCAAAACTACTTGTGTGATCTCACTTAATATCAAAATAGTCCTCAGAATGCTGGTTTTTCTATTGATCCCATTTTATAGCTGAGAAATATTAGAAATTCAGAGAGGATACGTCACACAGCTGAGAACTGGCCAATCAAACCACGGCCCACATACCGTCACCCAAGGAGTCAGAAAGCTACGGCCTGAGGGCCGAATCCAGCCTATGGCACACTTACATAAACAAACTTTTACTGGAACATAGCAGAGCTCATTTGTGTACACAGTGTCTATGGCTGTTTTCTTGTTATGACAGCAGAACTGAGTTGTTGCGACAGAGACTGTATGGCCCATAGAGCCTAAAATATTTACTATCTGGCTCTTCACAGAAAAAGTATGCCAACCCCTGGCCCAGGCTACACTGGCAAAGATAACATGTTTAAGTGTTAGCGATCTTCTAAAAGGCCCAACACGTCGTGCACAAAGTATCGAGCTCGCAACAAAAAAACGACAGCTTTCCCATGACCTTAAAATCGAGAGTGGGAACAGTGCGAGTCATCTGCTGTCTGTTTCTGAATTATATGTTGAGCCTGGCATTAGTAAATGCCTCATTACTCTAACTCCCATTTAGGAATAAATATACTCAGGATATTAGAAGTATTTATTGCTTGCAGAACTGTCTGGTAATAAAGAAATTGCTCCATCGGTCAAACAATAATAGAAGATTTATCGATTTCCTATGCAAAGTATTATACTTAGACCTAAACAAACTCAGAGAAGAAAGCACAAGTTCACCACAAAGGACAGATGGGATGGTAGTAGTGGTGCGAACCTTCCTTCATTCGAGCTCTTAAGCGAGGGGAAGTTAGGGAGAGATTGTACATTATCCCCAAATGTGTAATCACGGCATGTGCATAATAATGAGGAATGTGGCACTGCTTTGCCTGCGATGAAGGCTGCGCTATAACTTTGCCCAGAACCCAATTCATCATCATTTCCCCTTTAACAATTAGCCTCTCCTGTGTCATCCATCTGTGAATGTCACCATCAAGACAGGCTCAGTCTCCCTCTCTCCCCCTCACGCACCATATGTAATACCTACCGGAGACCCTGCACCAAAGGCCTTCCTCTCCTTCTATTTCTATGGCCTCATTAAGGCCCCCATTCTTCCTGGCTTATCCAAGCCAGAGTCTGGGGGTCCCATGGCATCCCATTTCAGTTCCCATGGGCCACACATATTCTTCTAGAAGTGTTTAGTTTCCCATTCACACACCTCCCTGACTCCTCAGGGGCTACCAATTCAGGAAAATCCTTGACCCTGTGAGTTCAAGGAACACTCGCTAAAGTGCGGTCACCCACTAGGACCATTCATGTCAGTAAAGCCTCTGGAAAACTTAGGGGAGGCAGAGAAGCTGCAGCTCACACTGACCGGCCTGTACCCTGGGTGGGGCCAGCTGTGTGCAGTCCACTGGCACTAACGGACTCTGGCCTCCCATCAAAGGACTAGCATGTCCCCCGTGCCAAGGCGGGCATGGAGGCAGAGAGGACAGGGGATAGCGGTGGGGCAGCCATTCAAACCAAGGCTGCGGACAGCAGGGGCCCTGTCCGCGCCACTTCCCCTGCCTCTGCCACCTCTGAATTACTTCATACTTGGCACTCCTCGGAAGTGACTTTCAGAAAATTAAACCTAGAATTACACTGATATGCTTCCCTTGCAAGATTGAAAACTCCTGGAGGGGAGGGCTCTAGTTTTCTTCATCTGGAAACCTCCTCCGACACCCAGCCTGGTGCCCAGCTGGAGCGAAATGAAGAACAAAA